TCAGCATCCGGGCAGAGAACCACTTCTTACTGTGTTTCCCCGAAAATAAGACAGGGTCTTGTTTTCTTTTGACCCCCAAAATAAGCACTTGGCCTTATTTTCATGGAAGTTTTATTATTTTTTGAGGTGGCGAGCCTGGTCACCTCATGGCTGCTGCTGTGATGCCATATTTTCAGGGAGGCCTTGTTTTTGGGGGAGGGCTTATTTTAGGTCACACGCTCAAAAGCCTGATTGGGATTATTATCCGGGGAGCAGTGGTGAGTTCCTACTGGTTCAGACCGGTTCAACCGAACCTGTAGTGGTTTGGTGGCCTGGGTTGCTGGAACCGGCAGCGACCCAGGCCTGCCACGCTGCCGAACCAATTGCCATCTTGTTTTTCGGTTCTGCGCATGCACAGAACATTTTTTATTGTACTGCGCATGCAAGCACCCGTGAGTGAACTGGCAGTAGCGGCTGCTAGAACCCACTCCTGCCGGGGAGGTCTTATTTTTTGGGAAAACAAGATAAAATTTTTGAAACCATGATCTGCAGCCTTATTATTTTTCAAGATTGTCACAGCACGCATAACCCTCCTTTCATCAAGTTTTTCTTTAATCCTAATATTTATAACATTAGTCTCAGTTCTACTATCCCAATCGTTACCATGCAAATCTCTAAAATACTCCTTCGGGCATTCTCTCGATCCAGTTTCATCCTAAATTCCATCGCTGTTATTTTTATTTCCATTCTCTTTGCTGGAGGCTCCTTTTATTTCTACTTCCTAACTAAAATTAATCATAGCGAGACAAATTATAAAATACCTTATATCAAACCGATGGAAATAGGCAATGTTACACTGTACTTTTGAAAAGATCTGATTAGCTTGGTTTTTCAGGTAAGTTTTAGATTGTAAGGTTGCTGGATCAATGGCAATATATGGAAGATGAAAGCATATTTTTAACATGTTTTTAAGAAAAGAGTGGATATTCATTTGTCTGAAGTGGCGTAGGGTATCCTGCCTAAGCAGGGGGTTGGACTAGAAGATCTCCAAGGTCCCTTCCAACTCTGTTATTCTAAATCTAAATATTGTTTATTCTCACATGTTACTAATAATAATCCAAGTTTTTGCACGCCGAACCAGTAGTAATGCCGGCAGGAACCCACCGCGGGTATGCATTTATTCCCAGGTGGATGTGTTCAGATATATTTTCTGGTTTTACATTCTCATATTTACAATTCATAATTCCAATATCTGAATGGTAGATACTCATTGTATGCGGATGTAGGCGTACAATGTAAGTTAAAACCCATCTCTCTCCTAGAAAATGAAATATTTTAGGAAATACTAAAAGGGCAGAATATTTCCCCCTAAAACGGAGGCAGAAACTCAGCCCCCCACAAACACACCTTTGTCAATGGGCCATTAAGGCCTGAGCCAGTCTATTCTACATAACAAAGATTTTCCTCCTTCAGGCAGAGCCATAATAGGAATTCTAGAGCCCTTTCATTACATCATCACCAGAGGTGTCATTCAGCAGGTTCTGACCANGTAGTAAAAAAAAATGAATTTTTGAATTACAGCTTTGTTTCAATTCCCAGATTCCCCACCCAACATGTTGAAGTTAAAATCCACAAGTTGCCAAGTATGGACATCCCTGATCTTTAAGATTTGGAATGTCAGTTCTGGTTTGCTTTAGAAAACGTAACAAAAGGCAGTCACGTTTACAAAGCTACATCCTTGTAACTTGGAATTGGATTACCCTTAATGGAATAAGACCTTTAATACAGGGCTAGAAGCTGTCTCTTTTGTAAAATTGCTATATCTTAGCACAATGAAGAATGCATTCATAAAAATGTCATCTCAGGTCAGGCTTCCATATCATACTTCCAGCTCAGACTGTTACGTTGGGGCTATCCAACTAGCCGGTTGTTTTTCTTTGCGTTTGACCCATATGGTTTCTTGGACACACCTAGTTCTTGCAGCGAAGTTAGTAACAGGGGATGCAATGAAGGGTTTTCTGGGAGATGATAATTAGCACGTAGAAGCAATGACCAGCCCAAGTGACTCAGCTGACTCCCACGCAAAAAGGAGAAGTATAGACCCTGGTGCTGAATTAACTCATTCTCTGGGTTTCTGCTGTACAAGAGCCAGTTTGGTGTAATGATTAAGGTATCAGGCTAGAAACAATGAATTCTAGTCCCATATTAGACCCAAAGGCAGCTGGGTGACCTTGGGCCAGTCACAGTCTCAAACCCTAGGAAAAAGGCAACAGCAAACCACTTCCCAAATCTTACCAAGAAAACTGCTGGGGACTTGCCTAGGGAATCGTCAGGACTCAACAATAACTTGAAGGCAAACAAACAAAAAAGAGACTATTGTACCCTAAAATAAGGAACTAGCTAAACAATACATTAAGCCACAATCAAATAAGAATATGAATGAACCCAAATTACTGGTTTGTATGAGAATGCAACTAACCAAAATTGGTAGGTTGTGAATGCATTTTTAAAATATTTAATTAACTTATATTTGAGAGTATATCTAGTTAGAAATTTGAGGGGTTAGGGCAGTGATGGCGAACCTTTTCGGCACCAAGTCCCAAAAAGCTTGCGCTTGTCTGGGCCATGATCTAGAAGAAGAGCTGCCCAGGGGGCATTCTCATGCCAGAAAACAGAAGACCAGCTCTTCCCGTTTCCAACACTGCTGCATGCACAAAGCCAGCTGATCATCATGTGTGCATGCATGCCAGAAACCTGGAAGAGGAATGGTCGACACGTGTGTGTGAGGTGACATGGTTCCGTGTGCCACTTCGGGCATGCGTGCCATAGGTTTGCCGTCACAGAGTTAGGGTCTTAACGTGGCGTTATGCTGCACATATAGCCTAGGCATACAGTATAGCTTAAGCAACAATATCTTGGCTTGCTATGTAGATCTTAGTTTTGTTTTGTTTTTTGTTAAATGGAAATCAGTGTATCAGTTGTAACCTAAAAGTAAGTTGAACTTTGTGGGAATCAAGTACATAAATATAAGTAAACTCTTAAGGGTCAGGTTAGACAAAGCTGATTTAGGTCATTCATTGGTTACTTAAAAACTCTAAATTGGGAGGGTTTTAACCATACTTAACCGCTGTTGATACACCTCAGTGAACTGAGTCTGGAAATTGCCTACCTGCATTCTCTTCAGAAGAGGAATAACTGTAATTATGCTTTAGCTTGTTCAGAATGGATTATGTTAAAAGTAAAGCAGTTCACAAAAAATGTGATACCAGGGGAGGGGAGTAGTACGCAGCAGGCTAATTGGGTTGCTTTAGGAACAGGCTGGGGAAAAAAGTATTGTTGGGATTATAGCAAACATGGTTGAGATGCTTTAAATGTTAATATGATTAAGTTATCAACATCATCTACTGGTTTTTTTTCTACTTGTATTTCTTCTCTAGGTGGTTAGTGGTAAAAGACTCTTTCTTATTGTACATGAAGCCAGACAGTGGAGCCGTTTCTTTTGTCCTCCTGGTTGATAAAGAATTCAGCATAAAGATTGGCAAGAAGGAGACAGAAACTAAATATGGGTTACGAATTGATAATCTTTCCAGGTAAGAAGTTAACAGATAACAGATTAAAAGAGTTGGGAGGGACCTTGCAGGTCATCTAGTCCAAAGCAGAAGCAGAAAACCCTACATCCACCTCTTCCTAGGATCGAACTCACAACCTCCTGATTGTGATGCGAGAGCTCCCCCTCTAGGCCACAGCAAAATATAGCACCACATGGTTATCTCCCTCTTCAGTGTTGAGCATTCTGATTCAACGTGCTCCAAATTGCAAGTTTTCTGCTGGTTGCTTATGGCAAATGGTGATTATGTACTAGTGAAGAAGTGATAAAGCTAAATGTTTGTTCCCTGTCCAGGTCACTGATTTTGAAGTGCAACAGCTACAGGCATGCTCTCTGGTGGGGCCAAGGAATAGAAGAATTCGTCCAGAAAAATGGCAAGAACTTCCTCAAACATCACAGATTTGGTTCCTACGCAGCCATCCAGGAGAACACATTAGCCAAGTGGTAAGAGAAGACGGTCTATTGTCTCATAGCTGCTGATAGCATATGTATCTGTAGTAGTGCGTCCCAACTTTAGCCACTGTTAAGAGGTGTGGACTTCAACTCTCAGAATTACCCCAGTCAGCACTGGCTGGGGATTTCTGAATGTTGAAGTCCACACCTCTTAACAGTGGCTAAAGTTGGGACGCACTACTACAGATACATATGCTATCAGCAGCTATGAGACAATAGACCGTCTTCTCTTACCACTTGGCTAATGTGTTCT